ATTTAAGTTGCAGTTCATAAACTTCTAATGGCCTGGGTCTTGTCTACAAGGACCGCGATACCAGATATTGAGACGAGGTAGGCTGGGAATTCCACCGTTGTGTTACCAACTTCACAATGAGTCGGGTTAATGATGACGTCATGTTGGGTCAACGGCTGGAAGAGTAATTGAAGAGGAGCAAGATACTTTTCATCGGACAGCATGGCTAAAAGAATGTTGTGAAGGTAGGAGTACGCAAAGCTATACAACGTGTGATGTGGATGAAGCTTTGAAAGGTTCGTGCACGATTTCACAATTCGAAGATGTTTCTTAAAAACGCGAACAAGCCGAAAAGAATCGTGGCATCTGTTTTAGGCGACCTTTGTTGACAGGACTCTAGTGATGGACACTAGCAAGATCGATCATGCTGAAGATCGTCTAAGCTGTTAGGCACGCAGTAAGGTCCTGCATACCGTAAGACCCTGTATGTTATATATTTCCCGGCTGTTCCCTCAAGGACACCAGTTTACAGCTTCTTTGGAACTATCTGAAGTGGAGAAGACCAAAGACTTTCTGAAGATCGGATTATGCCAATTTCGAGCTTTTCTTAAACTCCGCCCTAAATACCTTCAATTACTCTGATGAAAGTCGACGCGAGCGTAATGATATGAGTAAGTTGTTAGTTCGGATACGATACTGGATTTGAGACGTCGCGGTGGGAGCTACTGAACGAGCTAATGAGAGGAAAGATCGGCATAGTCGGGAGCGTTATTTGCAAAATCGCTGACTTGTGTGATATTCGAGATGCCGGCATGGGTGTCGGACGCTGAGCGTTGTTGCGATGTTAACTATCCTCATTTGGTTTGCATCGACCAAGAGGTCGAACTTTCCAAAGAAGTTGATGCCGATTATGGCAATATTGAACACTTAGCGCAATGTTCTACGAGGAGTTAAGGTTATGAGCGTTAACAGTAACTAAGTGCACCATTGGCTGCACGTAGGCTTATAGTGGCCGACTCAGTCATCTTCCCATGCGCCGGAGGAACAAAGTTTACTGCAGCTCTGGTGTCAACCAGGAACTCGGTTCCAGATTTACATTTCTGAAGGTAAAGTAGGCTACTGTTGGAGCTGTGGCCGGTGACGTTATTGGTACGTGATTTACGGCCTGGGAGTTTCTGCGAATGATTTGAGGTGAATGTGTAATGTGTGATAAATAGCTTCGTGGCAGGCTACCGTGCCGATCTACTCTTAGGTACCGGTGAGCTTTCAAGTTTTGAACGGGTGTCGAGATCGGTGCGTACTGCCTGCAATTCATTTAATACTACGGTAAGCTCAGCGAGCTTTGAAATAAAGGCCGAATGATCCGGGCACGAACTATATAGCAATTGAAGTGCTTTAAAGCGGTTAGGCAAATACGTGGCGCGTGGTGTTACGCAATCTACTTTCTTAAGAAATTGATCCACGAGTGCATCCGTCAGTTATGTGGTTAGAATCAGAGAACAGGCTTTGGCGAATATGCTGGTATCTTTAGCAATTTCGGGTAGGTGATGTAGCCAGCGTTTCTGAAGTTTGGTTATCTGTTGTAGACGAGCCGAAGAGTTTATTCATCTTATTCGATAGGCTGGATGGACTCTTGTTGCCAAGAGGCAAGCCGTGGTTTGGCTATTTGATGCGCGTACTCGCTGCTTTCTCCAGCTGGATGGCGACCTCTAGTTTGCGATATACACAGAAACAACTTGTATTTGGAATTCGAAGAGTGGCTCTGAGCTGTAAAACGACCTCCCTACGAAGACTAACTAGCAAATGACTAAACTCAAGTCTGCTGGAAGTTATTTTATGATGCAACATTTCAAAATCCAACAAGACAAATCAAAAAGTGGGGTTGCAAATAGCATAGGAGAGACAGGTACTGAGGCGACGATGCTTGCTGAGCCGAAAATTATGGTATCTGTGTGAGCCATAGAATATTACAAAGTAAATGATGCAAAACACCAATTCAGGATTAAAAAAAGGAACCGACTCTGCAAAAATAAATTATGGCGATGGCGGAGCTGTACTCGCAGTCAAGGTCACCGACTGTGGTGGAGCTACTCAGATGCAAGTCGCTAGCGATGACCAGTAAGTGTCGTGTGAAGTGTGAGAATGCGGAGAACGGTAACAGCGACTAGACCCAACGTGCATTGACAAGAGCTAGAAGGAATAGAGAGCTGGTAAGCGAGATCACGGAGCAACGTATCAGCTCGAGACACCGGGAGCGGTTAAGTGAAGGCGCTGTACGATCAGTAACACAAATAGACGATGGGAAGATACAAATGATAATAAAATCTAGCCTGGCAACAGACTGCAAACCCAAATGTTTCATATTCACTACCTACTACAGTGTGTCCACGACGGTGACACTTGGTGCTATCAGTAAGAATGGTGGTGTTGAGACAGTATTCTGTTAAATGATGATGATACTAGAGCTAAATGCGGTGACTCAATGGACGGCTGATAAATCGATGAAGTCGTTTCGCTTAACATTTCGCTTATTTAAAGCATCCACATCGCTGTGTTGTGTTTCGTTTGCGGTCAGAAGTGCATTTGGTGCCTATATAAATGAGTATGCTTGATCAATTTTGTGAGATGGCGAGATGACAGTTTCATGTTGATGGATGCAATGCAGCTGCAGAAGCCGATAAACAACCAGATGAACTGCAACGCAGCCACACAAAATGACGTCCAAAAGAGGACTGCACTTTACTAACTTGAAATGCGACCGCTATGTGCTCCTAGTAGAATCACCAGTAAAAGTATCTCTCGGTAACTACAATCGGTTAAATTTGATGTCTGTTAGCCCACCTCATTTTATAGACAGATGTGTCACCTACTTCGTGGATGCAAGCGTTTGGCTTCGTAAGCTTCAAATAGCATGCACCAAACGACTAATTCTGTCTCATTCGAGTCTAGTTACGACGCTTTAAGCCGACTTGCGTTCAGACTGATCCAAACCAAAGAGTTAGTAAATCATTACACTTAGAAAGGAGTTTCAGGGGCATGCAAGTTAGTGGTTGAAGAAGCCAGATAGATTGCAGCGTAGCGATTATATTTTACAGCAGTGGTGCTCTGTTGTCCTGACTGTAAAACGACACCGAATGGTGTTGCTAGCTAGGGGATCGAAAAGACTGAACAAACGAAGCAGCCGCACCTTGCAACCAGCCGAGAGCAAGCGCAAAGGCCTTGCGGGATTCAAACAAACGATCTCAGCATGCGGTTTAGCATTCCGCATCGACCTCCTATGTGTACAGTGAGATGGTAATTTTAGTTAAAACTATACACAACAGCCTCAGATAAACCTGGGAAACCTCCAGACTGCTACAGAGTGGCATGCCCAAGTTTACGAACCGAAAATTACCAATGGCTCTAATTATTAATGTGAATATCATTTATTGGAACGGTTTGGATTTTCCAGGTGCATTACAGGAAATTATTAAGCTGACGATGAATTGCAATCGTATTTTTCAACAGTGCTTCCGCAACTAACCATATGTTCACGGCACTCGCGGTCCTTATGAACTGAGAAAAACCAATGGGAAATTCTATTTTTACGAGAAATTCTCGCGTGTCTGCAATGTAGGCAGCCATATTATCGCGTTTCTAGCTGACAACCACAATCCACGCTGTTGAATCGTTTATTCAGCTATCTGTATAATTTTCAACTCGAAACAGCATAGATTTACCGAACAGACTAAGCGCCTCGCACGCAGCCGATGCTGGAGGTGGAGCCACCAGCTATAACGCTGAAGCTTCTTTCGCAAAACAATTACGCTATCCAAATCAGTTGCTGGCAATGTACTCCAACCAATGTTAACTTCTCTAGTTGAGAGGGTCAGAAGCTCTACTATAGTAGAGACAACGAACTATGCTGAAATTAAAGAGATAGGGAGTTGTTTCGTCTGAAATGCGTAACAAGTTGGCAAGACATAACTTCTTCTATACGAAACCGCACTATTCCACTCCTACTATCGAGTTGCACTCAACTAAGCGCTCAAGTATTTGACTCCCGATAAGCAGAACGCTTACAATGCTGACAGCCCTACAATTGACAAGTATGGAGTCAGATCCCTTTGCGTATTGCAACTAAACTGTTTCCTTTCAGTCTGTTGGTATTCTACCTCCCCGGAACGATCAACTGAATATACTCAGTACGAGATATTGGAGTATGTTAGGATGGTCTGAGTATAACAGGATGCACATTGTCAGCGCCGTCCAAGTTGTAATATTCGTAGCTTAACAACAGTTCGTGGAATGAAGTCAGCCGTAGATTTATGCCAGCGTAATCGCCCATCAACCGGCCATTGATACAGTTTAATAGCATAAAAAGCGATGCAGATGTGGTGTTTCCAATCCCCTAGAATGCGTAGTCAGCACTACCGTAAGACAAGTAAGCTTCTTCAACCAAATCCGTCTCAATAGTACCACAATATTAAAGCCTTTACAACCGCTGCATATGGTGACCGGTAGAAAATGTCGCATTAAGCACTGCCTTGTTATTCAACCCGCGGGCCTGCACAAGTCATGTCACATAACCTCTACCGCTTCGATCGAACGCATACTATTTCGACAGACAACCAATTGGGCTAGTGAATGAGCGTGCGTTAGAAATCCGTGCCTGGTGGGGTTGAAATATTAATATTTCGACTGTGGTAAAAACGAAGTGGATGGAGACGATAATTGAATCCACCAGTACCCACGGACGCCGCGGATTTTTGAATCACCGTGTGCTGGTATCACAGCTGGACTCTAACCGCAAGTACGTATTTCAACTCGTAGCGAATAAGCAAGAAGACGCGTCAGTCTGGCGCACAGTGTACTGAACACTTAACGGTTTACATGTGAGCACGGAACGTTAGGGTGTGTCCTTGAGTGCGTGTGTGCGTGCTTATCTACGTGTTTGTGTAGGGCCAATCAGGTTCACGGTCATAGTGAGCGATCATTGGTTGAACACGTAACAGTCCTCCCTGTTTTGGCTGACGTTACAGTCATGGCTGAAAACGTTCGATCGGTTTGCGAATCCGGGTCGATCGGCGTAATTGAGTTTCCCCTGTTGTTCTGTGTTCGTCGTGCTCTGCAGCTTGCTCTGCGATCTCCGAGTGTGACTGACTCACGGCAGGTGTGTCAGTGCTCCTGGGGCGTACATGATCTGAGTGCCGGCGAACAACCCGGCCGTCCGGAAGCTGCAAATCGTTTTGACTTCCTGAAGAATCGAGCACAGTCGCCGGCTGCCAACATTGTTCATGCGGTAACCTGGTGTAAACAGGTTGATGGTCCTGAAATGTAACTTCCGGCTTTGATTCCTCTGAAGACACAAACTTTTTCTGACGCTCCTGTACTTCAACACGCGGGTTCGGGAACAACAAATGAAGCCTCGTTCTCAGATTTCTGCCGAACATCAATTCCGCCGGGGATTTCCCGGTAGCCTCAGTGGGTGTAGAACGGTAGGAGAATAGGAACCGATCCAGTTTTGTTCGCAATGTTCCCGTTCGCTGCTTTAGTAAGCCTTGTTTCACAGTTTGTACTGCACGCTCCGCTAATCCGTTTGATGCTGGGTGATACGGGGCTGATTTAACGTGTTGGATTCCGTTGTTGGCGACAAATTTACCAAATTCGGCACTGGTAAAAGGCGAACCATTGTCTGTACAAATGGTTTCCGGAATGCCAAACGTAGCGAAGGACGAGCGCATTTTAGTGATGGTGGATTCGGCTGTCGCCTGAGTAACTGGATGTACGTCAATCCACTTAGAATGTGCATCAATAAGTAGAAGAAACATGGTCCCGTCGATCGGTCCGAAGTAGTCGGCGTGGATACGCTGCCAGGGCTTGTCGGGCCAACGCCAAGGGTGTATTGGACCTGGCGCCTTGCTCCGCTGATACGCCTGACAAATATCGCAATTCTTCAGTAAGTTTTCTATGTCTGAGTCGATGTTGGGCCACCAGCAGTACCCTCTCGCTAGTGCTTTCATCCTCGCCACACCTGGATGAGCATCATGGAGCTCTTTAAGTATCTGTGAACGCGCCTTGGTGGGAGGGACTAGACGAGAGCCCCAAAAAACACAGCCGTCGAATAGACTCAGTTCGTTCTTCCGAATCATAAACGGTTGTAATTCAACTGTCCCTTCAGGAGGCCAACCCATGTTCAAAAAGCGTTTCACCATTGATAGCACGAGGTCTCGATCCGTCCATTGACGGATTGTTGAACTCCGTATCGGTGTTGTGTCTAGATGTTGCATTAGATTAACCAGTTCAAACGGAGGGTCGTGTTCATGTGCAGTTTCCGTGATCGGCAGACGGCTGAGTGCATCAGCTGTGCAGTTGCTGACGCCGGTAATATAAACAATCTTGTAACTGTAAGCACTCAAGGTTATAGCCCATCTTTGCATCCTCAGTGATGCCATTTGTTGTATACCTTTGGTTTCCCCAAACAAGGATATCAATGGTTTGTGGTCTGTATGAAGCTCGAAAACGTTTCCCCATAAATACTGGTGAAACCTCTTAACTCCGAAGATAACGGCTAGCGCTTCCCTGTCCAGTTGTGAGTAGTTCTTCTCCGCCGTCTGTAAGGTGCGCGATGCATGTGCTATGGGACGTAAAGAACCATCCTCCATGCGGTGGCACAGGAGAGCCCCGACCCCCCAAGGGGACGCGTCGCACTGAAGTATGAGTGGCTTGTTAGAGTCATAATGGACTAACGTTGGTGGCGAAGCAAGAGCTTGTTTTGCTTTACTGAAGGCATTTTTTGACGGGAACCCCAACACCACGATGTATTTTTGTGTAACAGCTCATTTAATGGCGATAGAACCGTCGATGCATTAGGCAGGAAACGGCGATAGTGAGATAGCATTCCTAAGAACGAACGGAGTTCATCACAACTCTTTGGCTCTGGGCTATTTAAAATAGGTTTAACCTTGTCATTTAAAACATGTGAACCGTGTTTATCAAGCCGGTATCCAAGGTAACAAACGGAAGGTGAAAGGAACTCACATTTAGACCTTTTCAATCTGAATCCACTTCGCTCCAAACGCTCGAGCACGACCGCGAGTGTTCGAAGATGCTCTGTATCCGAGCGTCCAGAGATAAGAATATCATCCAGATAAGCACACGCAAAAGGAATGTCCTTCACTAGGTCGTCAATAATTCTCTGAAATATTCCGGGGGCGGAATTAATGCCAATGGGTGGCTTTGGTTTTGGTGATGTTAATCAATCGCAGCTCATCTGACGAGTCCTTCAGCGTAAATGTTGCGAGTTGTTGTGTAAGGTGTTCCCTCTGCCGGGCAATCGAGCAGGCCGTCTCCCAGGTCAGTGAACAATCATCTTGTGAAAGGAGCTTCTCCCGCGTGCTCTGGTCTGAGATTCCGGCTATCAAACATTGGAGTAACATGGTCTCTTCAAATCTCTTTGGATCGACTTCATTGTATTTACAATCAGGTGCTGCTTGTAGTACACGAGCGATGAACTCGTTCACACTCTCATCTGGTTTCTGGCAGAGTTTCGAGAAGTAGTATCTAGCCGTAAAACATTCTGACGAGCACCCCAAAGAGCACTGAAGGTTTCCAAAGCGCCGGTTATCGTAGAAGAGATTTGATCAATACGAAGTGCATCGAAATACCTTTGACCCTCATCTCCAAGAAACTGTCTCAAGAGCTTCACTTTGTTTTTCTCAGTAAGAGATACTGCTGGATTCAAGATTGGAAGCAATTCCAAGTAATCCGTAAAGGTTTTTCCGCCATCTATGCCACGAGTCCAGGGAAGGTTTGTCGGTAGAGCACGACCAGAAGACCGGTGGAGTATTTGTCATGGACATGTTGACCTCCGTCGCCAGATATCACAACTGGACTCTAACCGCAAGTACGTATTTCAACTCGTAGCGAATAAGCAAGAAGACGCGTCAGTCTGGCGCACAGTGTACTGAACACTTAACGGTTTACATGTGAGCACGGAACGTTAGGGTGTGTCCTTGAGTGCGTGTGTGCGTGCTTATCTACGTGTGTGTGTAGGGCCAATCAGGTTCACGGTCATAGTGAGCGATCATTGGTTGAACACGTAACAGCTGGATACTACTTATGCTTCGGATTACTGTTATGTGTTTTTTCTGTGTGAATTGTGCACCAATATTATTATTTTGGCATATTTTCCAATCAGTGCAAATTTCGTGGCTATTCCTTTGCTAATTCCGGAGATCTCATTGATTGGCCTACTGCCATCATAAATGATCTCGCGAGCGTACTATCTTCTAACTGTTGGCTATTTGCTGATGATCTAAAAGTATGGCGTACTATAGCTGCAGTGGAGGATCACACGGTGTTACAGGAGGACCTGGACAAAGCGTACACATGGTTCATCGAGAACATGCTGCATTTCAGCGTTACCAAGTGCAAAGTTCTCAATATACGGCACAAGAGTATGCACAAGTAGCGCCTAGGACCACAAATTCTACAGCGGGCATCTCACGAGTGCGACCTCGGCGTGATAGTTTAAGATGACCTCGGTTGTTCCAGGCAGACTGAAAAGGCATATAAGAAAGCAAACTAATACCTCGGACTTCTTCGCAGAGCCTTCGGGGAGTTTGACATTTCAGTTTTTCCGAAATTCCTTAGTGCGTACGTGAGGCCGTACGCGAAATATGCTATTCAAGCGTGGCAACTCTGGCTTAACTACCATCTCACTGCGCTCGATACTGCACAACGTAGGGCATCGAAGAACGTCAGAGGTTTGAGCAGCCTCCTCTATGCATACAGGCTAAAGACTCTCAAAATATACGGTGGACCTTATCGGCGTCTAACGGGTGATCTCATAATGGTGTACCTGATCCTGAGAAATCCCAACCACCCATACCATTCCCTTCTGATACTCAGTCAAAACACCTCGCTAAGTGGTCATCAGTTTAAGCTGGACACGCAATACAGCCGCTTGGAATGTCGGTGAATCTATTTCTCCCTTCGAGTGTCACAGCCTTGGAACTCCCTCCCGGAACACCTAATTAATGCATCCACCTTATCCCTTTTCAAAAGCGTCTTGACGATACCCTGTCACACTTACACTACGTGCTATAGCTCACGACCACCAGATGCTGACACTAATGCACAACAGACAGTGGACAGTGCCATAACCCTACTCGAGAATGAGTCACTTCAAACCCCTTGCATACAATTTGATAAACGCTACTACTATAGAAACTGGATTTATGTATCCCGTCGACCCGAAATAGCTGCACACGTGTAAGCGTTGTCCTTGCTATCTGTTTTTTTCTCGCTTATTACGTGATCTATAACCACACCCCTTACGGTTTTGTTTGCGCACATTCTAATTTTAAACGGCCTTTATACGGCAGTGCATTTAAAGCTGTAATCGCCCGAACCGACGAATCCATTATCCCTCAGTCTATCTTTTCTCACTCTAACCACCCTAAGGGACATGTCACGCACCTGCTTTTTTTACCCCTTATAAATCATTGTTCATTCTACCTTGTGATGTGGTCTCAAGCTACTTGTGGTTCGTGTTCGAAACTTGTTGGACATAAGGCACATGCACTTCGGTGCTTCGACTGCGATGTTGTTTTCCATATTTCGTGCATTGGCTTATCCGCTGACGTCTTTTGAAAATCTCTCGACACCCGACATCGGATTTTCCAACTTATTTGTGATAAATGTCGCGGTGCAAGTCATCAGAATACACAGCGACCGCCCACAACTAGGGGAAAATCTCTCTTCCAGACAGAAACAAACCGTTCACCACGTGGGGTCAAACACCCTCGTGAAAGTACCTCTGTCACCTCGCCTTCCCTTGTCACTCCGCGTTCTGCACCACCACCAGCGTCTTCGAGGCCGGCCGAGCCTCAGGTTCAATGTTCCCCACCGAAGGAAAACTCAGACTCGGAACGTACGAAATGCCGCTTCACTGATATGTCCGTGGATTTCTCAGAACCTGTCTGTGAACTTCTGAACACCGAGGATCCATGAACCACTCAAATCGCAAGGGGCCACGTAATCGAGTTCAGGCGTCCCCTGCTGATAAACAACAACCCAAACAGATAAGCGCCTCTAGTCTTGCTCTCACAGGTTCAGCACCGATTTCGCTGAGGCGTCATAATCCCAGGGTCTTCCAGGTACCAGAGTTAAAAGACAAAAACCCTAAGATACGTTATGACCACGATGTTGAGTTCCTCCAGGGGCACATTGATAGACTCTTGGATGTGGGAGAAGACACTGTGATGATTAAACAAGGAATCCGACTTAGCCAGAAAACTAACCAGTCACGTCGACCTTTGAGAATCATCTCTGCAAATCCCAATATACCGCATCTCATACTGTCGCGTCTATCAAGGCTGAAAGACATAAACTTTCACATCCGCCGAGACTTGGAACCCGAAGACAGGGATCGTTTGAAGACTGTGGTTATTGAGCTCAACCGCCGTACAGAAGAAGGTGAGACTGACTTACACATTGTAAATTTTTGGTGATCATGAAGGGTGTACGAACCCGTATCAACCGGTTTTTCAATCTCCAGGCACGTCCCACGGGACCTCCTAGGACCTCCGGGTGGCATTCGCCAACTTGAGCAGCATAATGAACAAGCGTGAGGAACTGTGCCACTTCACCGTCTCGGAGCGGCCACACGTTTTAGGACTTGTGGAGACTTGGCTGAACTCCGACGTCATACCCTAAGTAGTCACGTTGTCAGAATACTCATGTTTCCCATGCGGCCGGAAATCAAAGGCTCACTGTGGTGTTTTGTTGGACAATGGACAATGGACAATGGTTTATTACGGGTAAAAAAGCATCGCTTAACAAGTCCCGTGGGATGGAAATTATTGCGAAAATCAATTGCATAAAAAAGTGAAAAGCGTTGTGGTGGACTCACCATAGACTTATGTGAAATAGCGGAGATGTTCGCGTATTAAACATAAAAATCCATAAATCCAATGGTTGAGCGTTTGGCAAGAAACCGTTTGATTGCGTTTTGTAGCCCCTGGCTAACAAGTCATAAAAGGAAATGTAAGTGAGACAACGCATCGTCAACACGTTTTTTAAATATCGCCAGATTGGGAGCAGAGACGACATAATTAGGGAGGGCATTCCAAGGCTCACACACGCGGAGAGAAAAGAAATTTCTACGGCATTCAAGCCGGCTGTAATGAATTGTCAGTTTCAGAGGGTGACCTCTTAGTTTAATGTTGGGGTTCAATTCCAGCAGCGGACGGCAAATGTGGTTTGGGTTCTTCAGAATCTGGTAAACCATTATGAGATCCCCCCGCAAAAGCCGATATCGACTGCTGTACATTCTTAGAGATTTCAGTCTAAGCTGATAGGGCAGATGAAAGAGGCCCCTGACGTTCTTGGTTGCCCGTCGTTGAGGAGTCTCAAGAGCAATGAGATCCTGTTTCTGCCACGGCTGCCACGACTGAATAGCATATTCCACATGCGGGCGCACGTAGGCGTTAAGCATTTGGGGAAATATTGATGGTTCAAACCGACCGAAGGCTCTGCGAAGAAGGCCGTAGTGTTGATTTCCGGTTCTCGTCGCCTTCTCTGCTTGTTTGGAACACCCGAGATCTTCCTGTACCAATACACCCAGGTCCCGCTCATGAGAAACCTTTGCCAAGGTGTGGTCTCCAATCTTGTAGGCGCTCACCAGCTGGTGACGCAGATGCATCACTTTGCACTTAGCCATGTTCAATTGAAGCTTGTTACTCTTTGACCATTCGTAAATGCAATCTA